GCGGGAGGGGGGGGCGGGGGGAGAGTCGGGGCTGCCCCGTTCCCCGTGTCCCCCGACCCGACACCGGGACCCCCGGGGGGCGGCTCCACTCCCGCTGCCCCCGACAGAGCAGCTCTCACCCTGACCCCAACCGGGCACCGGGACCCCCGGGGGGGCTTCCTCACTCCCCCTGACCCCGACCAGGCACCGGGACCCCCAGGAGGGGCTTCCCATTTTATTTCCCCTTCTCCCAACCGAGCACCGAGACCCCCGGGGGGGCTCCCTCGCTCCCCCTGACCCCGACCAGGCACCGGGACCCTCGGGGGACTCCCCCGTTTATTTCCCCTTCTCCCAACCGGGCACCGGGACCCTCGGGAGGGGTTTCCTCACTCCCCCTGACCCCGACCAGGCACCAGGACCCCCGGGGGGGCTTCCCCGTTCGTTTCCCCTTCTCCCAACAGGGCACGGGGACCCTCGGGGGGGCTCCCTCGCTCCCCCTGACACCGACCAGGCACCGGGACCCCCGGGGGGGCTTCCCCGTTCGTTTCCCCTTCTCCCAACAGGGCACGGGGACCCTCGGGGGGGCTCCCTCGCTCCCCCTGACACCGACCAGGCACCGGGACCCCCGGGGGGGCTTCCCAGTTTGTTTCCCCTTCTCCCAACCGGGCACCGGGACCCCTGGGGGAGCTTCCTCGCTCCCTCTGACCCCGACCAGGAACCGGGACCCCCGGGGGGGCTTCCCTTTTCGTTTCCCCTTCTCCCAACCGGGCACCGGGACCCTCGGGGGGGCTCCCTCGCTCCCCCTGACCCCGACCAGGCACCGGGACCCCGGGGGGGCGCTTCCCCGTTTGTTTCCCCTTCTCCCAACCGGGCACCGGGACCCTCGGGAGGAGTTTCCTCACTCCCCCTGACCCCAAACGGGCACCGGGACCCCCGGGGGGGCTTCCCAGTTTGTTTCCCCTTCTCCCAACCGGGCACCGGGACCCCTGGGGGAGCTTCCTCGCTCCCTCTGACCCCGACCAGGAACCGGGACCCCCGGGGGGGCTTCCCTTTTCGTTTCCCCTTCTCCCAACCGGGCACCGGGACCCTCGGGGGGGCTCCCTCGCTCCCCCTGACCCCGACCAGGCACCGGGACCCCGGGGGGGCGCTTCCCCGTTTGTTTCCCCTTCTCCCAACCGGGCACCGGGACCCTCGGGAGGAGTTTCCTCACTCCCCCTGACCCCAAACGGGCACCGGGACCCCCGGGGGGGCTTCCCCGTTTGTTTCCCCTTCTCCCAACCGGGCACTGGGACCCTTGGGGGGGCTCCTTCGCTCCCCCTGACCCCGACCAAGTATCAGGACCCCGGGGGGGGCTTCCCTGTTTATTTCCCCTTCTCCCAGCTGGGCACCGGGTCCCTCGGGGGGGCTTCCGTTTTCGTTTCCCCTTCTCCCAACCTAGCACCAGGACCCTCGGGGGGGCTTCCTTGTTCCCCCTGACCCCAACCAGGCACCAGGACCCCCAGGGGGGCTGCCATTCTCCCCCTACCCCACAGCGAAGCTCTGGATCCCCTTCCCTAGTCCCACGAT